AATATCCTTAAATTGATATTATTAAGAATTGAATATTATCATTTACCAACATCTGTTTGCCCTTTAGTCAATTGTGTAACAAGTGCAAAATTCAATATTTTACTCTCTCAATAAATACTTGTTAAAATATTTTTTTAAATGCAGAGCTCTTTAGAAGTTGGTCAAGCGACTTCTCCAATTTTGGTAGCACCCACTGTATTAATTGTATTGTATGGTATGGATACAGGCTGACATGCAGTCGACCTCGTCTGATCGCAAGATCTCTTCTTATTTGGTTTTGATCATCGATCTGGCCTTATTTTATATTATGAAATTATTTTTCTTTTCACAAAACAATATTGCAGCTTGTGCTTTTGTCATCCCAATTATTGTAACGACATTGTAAATTGTTTTGTACATAATATTATGTACACATAATTATTTGTTAATATTTATGTTTTTTTTTAATATTTCTAATTTCATCTTTAATATATTTTCGGGTTTCATATATTTGATGTGAGTAAACGATGCTCTGTCGACTGCCTTTTGTATCCGTATTTACTGAAAGGTAAAGTGAAAATTTGCTACGAGTTAAATAGAGTTAAAACATGCAGTAATAATTAGCAAAGCTTAACTAATTAAAATCAGACAAGTATAACATTTTCATAATTTGACACTAATATATTGTGTTTTACTTGGGACACCCAGTTTCCAAATTATAGATACATAAAACCAATAAGTTTCCAAAGTAGACTACGACATACGAACACATGGCTTTGGCTAAGGGACAAACAAATATGTACATAATATGTATAGATTATTTTTAAAACTTTAAAATGCATATTTAATACAATCTAAAAGGCAATAAACAAAAATCTGGTATTCATATATTTTTATTCCTGTATTAATAAGAAAGAAAAGTCTTGATTTTTTATTCAAATTCTTTCATTTAACTATTTGATTGATTGCTGATAAGTGATTATACCCATAAGAATACATACATGAGAAGTAACATATTTTCTGTAACTTGCATGTCGTGTTTCGCTCATCGTCGTAATAATTAATGCTCGAGTTCTGTGAATGCACCGTTCATGCTTGAAATTGCCTTGCTACACGTATACTTTTACATTAGATTTTTATTTAAAAAAAAGTTGTTTAATGGATTACTATTTATTCGTAATACTGTACATTTAGTAATTATATAAGTACTTTCATAATTTTAGTTGACGGTATTTTAAAAACAAATAAAAATAACTTTAACTAGCGACTCACCCTCGCTTCACTCGCGTTTGTCCCTAGGTTGTTTCCCCATACAAACGTTCATCTCCATTTTCTCCCCCTAAAGGGATGATTTCCGGAATAAAAACTATCCCATGTCCTTCCGAGGGTCTCAAACTATCTTCTTACTAAATTTCATCTAAATCGGTTCTGTTGTTTCGGAGCCTATTCGATACAAATAAACAAAAAATTAAATCTTTCCTCTTTATAATATTGATATAGATTATTGTTTTACTTTTATGTTCTTATACTTCTGTAATTTTTACTATGAAACACTTTTACTAACGTTATATAAATATATATTATTTGTTAATAGTTATTTATTTTTTATGTCAATATCTAATATTTCAAGTTCTAATCATCAGTTAAATGGCAGGGGCATTTTACCTTTACTTACAAACGAAACTTAGTGAAAGACATCGGCAGGCACCTCCAGTTGCGAATACGACGCGCACGCGACGCGCATGTACTATCGGTGCTATAAATTAACAACAGTTAATTCGGTTATTCATCACTATATCTTATTCTTTACTAGTTTTTTTTTCATTCATAACTCAATTTTGTACGTAAATTATAGGCGATTGTGTGATTTTCGTGCTGTGGAATAATTTGTTGCACATTGTTTATATTTCGTTTTTAGAAGTGTTTAGAGAAGATATACCTAACATTGTTATCGTCATCATGCTATAATATTTATACGCAGTTACGTTTATGTAATGTAATATCAAATATCAATGATGATTCATTTGTGAATATATGAAGCATGAAAAAATCAAATGTATTTGAAAGTTTAATAGATAATTTTATTGTAACAAGGCAGTGAAAACATTCATGTTTCACTTTACAACACATATTTTACTTCCGTTGGCTCGTCACGTCATATGCAGATATACTAATTTCTAAATTAAATCAGCATTTTTCGATCTTTATGTATTTAGTTATATTGTGGTCTTTTAGTGCAATGGTGTTTCTGATGTTAGAATCCTATAACAGAAAATATTTTTAAGCTATTAGCTTCTATCGTAATTTGTTTGGAAGCGCAATGTGGGGGTAACGTCGTTCGTTCGAGCCTAATATGGCCATCAGTTTGTGACTTATGGTGTGTAACAAGTAGTTCGACAGGATATCATTATTTATATTCCTTTTAAGTAATATCTATACAAACATTAATAATATATACTGTTGATTAAATTAATTAACAGATTTTATCTTTTAATGAAGTGCGAACGAGTCTCGAATGAATTAGTTTCTAAATTTCGTTTGCATATTATAAAATGAGACTTAATAATATTTAATCAAGGAGTTGACGGTGTAACGTCCCACGCTGTATCGGATTGACGTGAAGTATTTGTTGAGTCAGTATTTGATATTTTATTTGTTAGAAATATTTGATTTAATAGTAATCTTAATAATATTTGTTTTTTATAATTTTGTTATGCTTTATAGAATTGATTTCTATTATCTATACCGTCAGAGGTCGCTGATTTTATTGCCTAATTGAATAAACTGTTGTGTTGATTGTATTGTTGACGAAGCTTAGGTATTTTAAATACAGTAATGAAATATTATATAGCTGTAAACAAAGAGTAGTAATTTCTGTTATTAATGTTGAAATAGACAAAATATCCTATTCATTTTATTGTTTGTTTTTTTTTTTTGGATGAAAGGCCTTCTAATATATTATTTACATAATATGTACATCATACAAACCTTCAAAACAATATACGAGTATTATAACTCATAACAATGTAATCCAACTTTCAAAACTAACCTACCTACATTTAATTCATAAGATGACTCAGTAGTCAGTAGTATTTTGTTTTTAAAACAAGACGATAACACAATATTTCGAACACGTGTATGTACTACACGTTATTCTTGCTTTACGTTAAAAATATTTTAACTAAATTCGCTGCGAAAAGATTAAGGGATCAAAAATGAACAAAAGCTCGAATATATTTTTAACAACTATAACAAAAAAATCATATGGACAGTAGGAAAGCATTAGTTTAATTTTGAAACTCGTAAACACATATAATTTGTTGTGCCTCCACTCTAAGCAGTGGTATAATCCTAGACGTGGTTAATTTATCACGCTCTGTGAAGATAAACACCGTGGAGAAACTGCATGTTTTAATAGATTTCAATAATAACAACAAGCTCCGGACTTCTGGTTAACTGATAAAATATCTTCTATTTAAACTAATTCATCAATAAAATCTCGTTTCATACTTAGTAGAAGGAAATCGCAATATTTAGTTATTTTATGCATTTATTATCTGGATTTACTTTAGCTCCATTATAAATACTCGTACATTGTACCACCTATCAATTTCATGCTTTAGTGTGACAAGTTTGAATAGAGTGGGAGGTGGTCTAAGTTTATCTAGATCGACATTCTATTCGATGAAGGTCGCTACTGTCGGACCTAGGTTTAGGTTTCGTAACATGTCGTATTTACCTACCTGCTTTAAATTTGATGTTAGTCTCAAGTTACGTTTGTAGTATTTATCGCTTGTTTCGTAATTTAATTTGTGTTCATTTTGCTATTTTATTCCTTGAGATTACAGTTAAAAAGATTTGTTTTAAACATAAAGTTTTCATAATCCCTCCACGACCGCGGACACGCCGGCGTTACAGTTAACAATAGATTTTTTAGAAATTTAAATAATTTCTTAGAAATTTACCTGGAGGTGTATGATCTAGTACCTCCTACCTAGATATATCAGATCAGTAAACTGTAAACATTTAGCAAAGCTAAAATAAAAGCAATTGATTTCTCTGTATTTAGTCATATTAACAGTAAAATTCTTCTTCATTCTGTTTTTAACTAAGATCAATGTTTTTTTACATTTTTGAATGATAAAGATTCATCGATTGTCACTAGAAAGTATTCTTGAATCTTATGCTACATATCATAAATTTCATGAGTCAATAATAGTGAGTGAACAAAATGAGAATATATTTCAAAGAGAGTAAAATTAAGCCGGTAAGCATTAAAGTTTAAACTAATATCTTCTCACGCATATTAACCTAAATTAAAAATTAACAAGAGATATATGTAACTAATAAATATTTATACGTAGAATTTCACAATATATGCGATTATATCAGCTGTATATTTTGTTGCAGTATTGATTCAAAAATATCATATAATCGGAGTTGCCAGACATTTAAATGATTAAATTTTACTGTTTATAGTTTCTTAAAAGATTAAACGATCTGTGTTACCTAGTTTCGAAATATTATTATTTGACCTAAGTCATGATTGATGATACCATATATTTTATTTATATCCTTCATTAATTATTATTATTATATTGCATACTAGCGACTCACCCTCGCTCGGGTTCGTCCCTAGGTTGTTTCCCTATACAACAGCTTTCATCCCCATTTTTACCCTCTTAAGGGATGATTTCCAGAGTAAAAAGTATCCTATGTCCTTCCCAGGATCTCAAAGTATCTTCTTACAAAACATCTAAATCGGTTCAGTAGATGCAGAGATTACCCCCTACAACGTCACAAACTCATAATTCACAAACTTTACTTCTTTATTATATTAGTATAGATAAAATATTATATTTATTAATTTTTCCGCAAAGTGTACCCACTTATATTTTCGTATAAAGCCTTAATAAAGATATTTTGTAAGAATAAATATTCATATACTTTTTACAGGTCATTGGAGATATATATTCTAACGTTGGGTATTTTAAAATAACAAAGTTTCATTTTGTTGGCAGCGTGCAAAAGCACCAGAATGCACGCCGCCATGCCGCCGCGCGCAGCCCCGTGTCACGAGCACGCCAAAGCGGGTGAACGATGCGCGTGCGCAACCCAACGACGCAGACGGTAAGTCGCCATTCGCTAAATTGTTTGTGATTGCAAAACAAGATTGCGAACATTGCTAGGCTAGCGTACAAGTCTAAGGTGTTACCAGAATGTTGAATAGATTTATTATTCTAAAGCAATTTATGATCATAAATATATTTTAAACTTGCATTGCCCGCTGCTCCGCCCGCGTTCAGGTGACCAAGAAACAAATTCTTAGGTTTTACATATTAGTATATTCTGACATTGCAGCTTTTGTATTTTTTCTCAGAAATGAGACATTTTCCCGCGGTAAAAAGTATATTATATATTGACCCGGATAACCAGCAACCATCATACCATATTTCATCAAAATCCCTCCGGTGGTTTTCCCGTGATGCGGTAACAGACAGACAGACAAAAAATCTAAAAGCTATAGATTCGGCGTCTATATCGATAATAATGTATATTTCAATAAGATTTTCCAAAAAATATGTAATTTACAGATTCAGCTTAGTTACAATTTTATTATATGTATAGATAATACTTTATTAGTTAAACAAACGTTTTCAGTCCGAACATTTTTCACATAATATACATTCATTGCAAAGGCCAAAGGTTATTTTCGACATGATAATATGTACGTAATACTTGTGTATAAAAATATTTTGCAGTTGCATTTCTATATTATAAAATTAAAATTGTATACTTTTCAATCTAATATGTATGTATAATAATGTTATAATTATGATACTCAATTAAGATTTATGTTAGAAATACGCTTTCTCTATGAGAGAAATATAGATTGATTTTTGTATATTTATATGATGTGCTACTGATTAGAGTGTCATTGAGAGTTTAATAATAATACAAAAATGGCGTTTTCAACGTATAATAATAGGTATAATAAAAGATACTGCTAACAGTACCATAATAATATGGAATAATGAATATTGAAATACCTAACCTACAGTAGCTTACTGCACGTCGACATTTAGGTCAGTAAAAACTTAATGGCGTTGTTTTACTGGAATATATTTCAGTCGTCTAAAAGATAACACTCATATCTCAGACGTTTTATGCACATTTCTCATTTATTTCCACATATACAGCTTTTGTGACTTTTCCCTTTGGTCAAACACTAGTCATGAAAAGGTGAATGATAAGAACGTTTAAATTAAAAAAATATTCTTTTAACGAGTAAATAGATGCCAAAGAAAAATATGTTGTTATATTAAGTATGGAAAATTTAAAACAAATACATATTGAATCTAAATAATTGGGTTAATCTTTAATTATTGTAAGTCTAAAGTTTCCATAGTTATGATAAGGATTGTAGAATATACATAGGTACATAATGTGTTATGAAAATTATTTTTATATGAATTTTTACTTAAAATAAAGGCTGTTTGAATCCATGCCTCATCTCATGCAGATATGGTAAAAGTGAGTAGTATTATGTATATTGTGGTGCCTCTCACTACTATTCATTTAATATTCGCTATTACTATTATTATAACTTTCATTAAATAAATAAATATGTTGAAACTTTAACACACATCACCATCTAGTTTCATGGTAGACTACGGTAATGGTATGGATACCAGATAGTTGATATACTCTACACATTAATAATTTAACTTTAAATGCATAATTATTATAAATATAAACACCCATGATTGGAGTACAAACATTCGTGTTCATCACACAAATGAATGCCCCCAGCGGGACTCGAACCCGCGACCTTTGGCACATCAAGTATAGGTACTACAAACTGAGCCAAACGTGTCGTCATTTCGTGCAATTATAATGTTTCCATTTTAAAACAGTCCTTGTACGAGTATATTTATCTATTGTATATTAATTTAGTTTTCGGACCAAGTGTAGTTTCCATACAGCCGGCAGCTTCACAAAGCTTTTGAATTAATAACTTTATGTTTGTCGTTTATTACTTTACGAATTTCCATGTTTTCAATTATAAAGCAATTTACACACAGGACGTTTTAGAATGTACTACTTTTGTCATGAAAATTTTAATTTTATTATCATAATATTCTCATTTAATATTTATTAACATATGCAAAATATCAGAAAATATTTACGCTGTATTACTAACGTATTAGACACAGCTTTGATGCAGTACGTGCTTTATCATTCAAGTCCAGTTTATTTATTCAAGGCACCCACCCATTCAAAATAGGTACACGGTAGTGTTGGTACCGGGAGCGCAGTAATGTAGCGTTCTCAGGTGAAATGCATTACTGAGTCAGTATCCTGAAGGTTATAATATTCAAACTTGCCTTAACTCAGGTAAATAGGACAAGGATGTTTTATAAAGTATCAAGAATAAGAAACTTTAGAACTTGCTTCGCTAGAGAATAATGTCCTTTGTCGTGGTTCCTATAGGATTTCAAGTCGGTCTTATAACTATTATAAATGTGAATATGTGTACATATTTTGATTTGCTTTTCTTTCAATTAGACAAAATGGTGGACGTGGTTTAGTCTGTTTGCCATGGGTGTGTTACGTGATATATTATTTATTTATTTTACTGTATAAGAATTTCAAAAGTATACGTAATACATATATGCAACATTTATATAAATATGTATTATTATATTACATAATTTCAGTCTTCGCATGTACATCTATTACATGTGTTCACAAAAATACGTATGTCGAATTCATTTTCATAATTCTTTTTCTTCTTTCTTTTTCCGATGTATGAAGTGAAATAGTAGTAGTTAGAAATATACAGTAATATAGTAGTTGTTCTATACAAGTAAATAGAAAATTGTTATTTATGATTTATGAGTTATAAATACAAATATGTACCTACAGTAAATTTATAGTTCATTTGTATGTAACATGAGTACTTATTATTTTAATTTGCTTTTATCTCAAGAAATGGAAATGTTAACAGCTACAGACAGTAATTTTGATTCCAGTTACTTTATTCGTTTGGCTTACGCACGCGGCTCCTATCTTTGCTCCTAATGAACCTTGATTACCTCTCGGGTACCCGTTTTATAGGCCCCGTAATGAGAACAGTACCAAGTGCAATAAAGTCGGGTCCAATGACTCCGTGCAACCTACTTGATTATTTTCCACACTTACGCACTAGTCGTAATTGATTGAACTTATTTTTAACCGACTTCCAATTACGAAAAGAAGGAGGTTCTCAATTCGTCGGAATCTTTTTTTTTATGTATGAAAGACAACTTCGAAAATATCTGATTAGGTATCTATTCTAAATGAAAACCTCCGTTTAGGTATTTTTTACATTTTAGTGCCTGGAAGTCGGTTTTTATTTTTTGTTAAAAAGTTTTTATATAGAAATAGAATAATAATAGGTTATTAAAAATACTATTACATATATGTATGTATATGTATGTGTAAGTTTGTGTATGTTTCTTTCGCTTTCACGCTGAAATGGCGGGACGGATTTGGATTAAATTTAATACACAGTACACACTGTATAGGTATACTATGACACACATAAGTCTTCCGTTAGAAACCTAGAGACGCAACCGAGAAAAGAAATGGCAAGAAATTTATGAGGCGCAGAAGGTATTAATTAGTTACAATTTATTTTAAAACTCGCTGCTCACCCTTGCTTCGCTCTGGTTCCCCTCTAGACAAACTGACAGAGAAACGAAAAAATTGAAAAAAAACTGGATTTGTTTTATTTCTCTTCTTACATCACCCTGGCTCGGGATTTAGCATTTTTTCTATGTACAGACGTTCGACCTCTGTATAGACTAGCAATGCGGCTTCGTCCGCGTTCAAACTTCCGATCGCTACTAAACTTCACAGGATCACCCGCAGGCTTAATCTGTAGATTGCCTGAAAATTTAATCAAAGTAGCTCCAGCCGTTTTGGGAGTGTATAGGGACATACTATTTTTATATGTAGATAGATTACAATAGAAACGCTTAGGTAGTTTAATTAACGACATTGAGATAGTAATTCGTAAAATAATGGGTACATTTTGAATGAAGTTCGTCCGTGTCGATAAGTTTCCTAAACGAAAGAGCACGTGTTTACATAACAGCTGTTTGAATTTTAATTTTATTTTTCGCGAATGATCCATTCATATATTCTAAAGTATTGTTATTTTAAACTTCAATTTTGTTATTTTACATTTCAATTCGAATTTTATTTTGTGGATGTGGATTAAAGTTTTTATTAATGTTATGTGGAACTTCATAAAAACAAGGTCAGCGTATATTAGTTTTCCAGAGACTTTATCCTGTTGCAAGGACAATAGATGGCGCCTGAAGTTTACACCCATATTCTTAGTTGTTACCTCGAAACTCCCTCGACTCAAACTCGACTGAGGCGTGTTCGAGGAAGGCCTCAAACGATCCTCGAAATCGGTATTCATAAACATAATCTTGAGGAAATCTCAGAATCCCTCGAGTGAGTGTGAGTCGAGTGAGAGTCGAGGAAAACGTCATGAATTACGTTACTATCTGGAGGATTTTGTTAGTCTGAGGTAGTAACTATACACAAAATCCGTAGTTGTCATTTTGATTTGGCGTTTTTTGTCAGTCGTGGGTCAAAGTTTGGTTAGTTTAAAGTACTTCAGAGCAGATAAATAAACCAAATTTTGCAAAAAATGTTGTTTTGGAATGTTAAGTGTATTATGTCGTTGTTTTATATACAAAAAAGGTGTTTGCTACATGTTTCGTCGTTCTTGAGTCCAGGATATCAGATTTTGGTACATCAGCCCCTTCACAAGGTAATTAATTTTGAAATATAATAATGCCTGATACTATATTGTAAATAATAAATAAAAAAGCCCTTTATTTCTCGATATATAAGAAGTAAAACAAAGCTTTATAGATTTCATAAATATAACATTATTAATTATTATTAAGATTTCCATATTTGTAAAAAATAACATATAATAAGTATTAATATATTTGATTCTATTCTTATAAATTATTTAGGTTTTACAAACTGTTATTTAATTTATGACGAAATTTAAAAATCAAATCTTAATAATGTATTGTAATAATCTAGTGAACTTAATATTAAGTAATGCTTATATATTTTTATTTAAATTGTATTTTTTCATTGTGAATATGAGTAA